ACCTGTCTTGTAGGTGGATGGTGGCTAAAAGTGGAATCTAGGGCGCAATATTGAGGCGATCCGCATAGGATGCACATATGCCGATAAGGGACTGATCAATGAGAATATTCAAACAACCAATACACAAGTGAACTATTTTATAGGTGTTGTTGCGTTTGTTTGTCTTCATTATTATACCTTTCATTTTGTATTGAATCGAGTAGTGTTGGCTTTATGAGGAACTTTGGTTCTAAGAGATTTTAAAATCATCATACCGACTTACGAGATATTTTACATACCAGTTTATTTTTATTGTTCCAATGGGTAGGATAGTTCTTCCATGGTATGTCGACTTACTAGATACATTTTGATGGTATTGTAGGGGGTAACCAAATTGACATAATAAGAACTATAATACCCACTTAGCGAGGTTATTAAAACATTCTGATCAGCGTTTGCAAAATAATTAAGAAGCAGACTTCTACATAAAACAGGTTCAAACTATTTCGTCCTTAGCGATAGTGAGACTCAAAATTAACCCATCTAGTTCACAGAACACACCATATATTCTGAATATTCGTTTCAACTCTCTTTTCTTCCTAAAAATTTCGTGCATTTGGATGATACTTCGCAACTTCGGCTTCGGTATGGTGAATGAGACTACTTTATACTCTTCTTCCCTGTCTATAAACTAGAGTAAAAAGTTCAGTTTGTATGGAGACTTTCTTGATAGCAATCACAGAAGAATTGATTACATTCAAGTTAATTCAGTAATATATTAATTTAATAATTACTAATTACAGAATCTTACCAAACTGAGTAGTTTTCATTGAACTAAAAATCGGTGAATTGATCAATACAAGGGGAAATTCACTGAAAATCAAAGAAATAGTAACAACTGAAAGTTAATAAATATAATTAACTCTGAATAAATTAATATGACGAAAATCCACTGAGAAGTTGGCTGGACAAAATTACCTCAAATTGATTTGCTATAAGCTGTATTTTGGAGATATAACATTCTCAACTCTCCCACATCACAGTGGTTTAAGAGATCGAGGCTATTGTTTATGTTTGCTACACCCCACAAAAACTCCACAGAAGATCTGGGTAAGAGGAAATAATCTGTATTAATTTGTAGATGTCTTTTCGCCACTCTAAGTAATTACTTTAATCTTTTATGAGATAGTTGACGAAGTATTCATCATTTAAATTACCTTTTGAAAAATACATTATCAAGATTGGTTTTATTTGCATTTATTTGTTTGGTTGTTAGGTGTGAAGCTATAAATTTCTTGTATAATATTTGACATTTAATTGTAAACCATATAACTTCATAACCACGCGCATATAATGTTCAAAAGTAATTTTTCAAAGCGTCCTGCGTTTTTGTTCAGCCCAAAATCTCATGGTGTCTGTGAGATTTATATTTCATTTGACCGTGGGTAAATTAGTAAGTACCATCTGAGTTGAGATTAGATCGGTATTCTCCTCCACGCGCATTTCGTAACCTTGCTCACCATGTTGTTTGACACAATTGAATTATTTATGCTAACCTCATTGTGTTTACGTAAACAACCTGATTGTACTAGGAGTCACTATTTTAGCTAGGACAATAAATGCTTGAAATGTGACGATTTATTTCTCATATTTAAAATATTATTCACTTCGTGCTTATTTAATTATATGCCGAACATTTTTAATGATTTTTTCAAACTTTGTAAAAACGAATAGTATACTTACTTTTGGTTTGTTACCAAGTTAATTATTGATCGATATTAAATCATTGATGTATATAGTCTTTCTAATTTTGGTTTGTTTAAAAGTATTATTAATATCATCATTTATGTTGTAATAGTCTATCGATCATAATTATATCGGTCATTTGATCTGTTTATGGGTTAAACGTTTCATGCTTCGATTTCACAATACTTCTATATATATTGCAATAGAATTAGGGTTAAATGACAACGGCCTGTATCGTCGTGATGCTAATAGCTAGGAGGTTTAACAATTCCATATGATGGTGATTTCAGGTACTCTGTAGTGTCAAAGAAGATTCCAAAAAGTTCTCCCATGCATGATGTCAAATGCTTTCTTGTAATCAGAGAAGTTCATTTATGATAATGAGTTCCATTTAGCCGATTGTTCAACAATGATCCTTAGTGTCGCGATGTATTTGGCACACGATCGGTCCTTATAGAATCCAGCCTGTTGATCTCGGAGCTGGGCTTCTACTGAATCCTTCATTCGGTTTGACAACATCGTTAATAACCTTTCCTGGTATTAGTAATAGTGTGATGTTTATGCAGTTCTCACAGCTACTAAGATTTTTCTTCGTTACCTTAATGAGGTGTTCTTCTTTCTCTTCTGTTGGTACTTATCCTTCCTCCCAAATCTTTCTGGAGAGGATGTGGAATGTCTCGGCAGTTACCTCTAAATCTGACTTCAGTGCTTCGTCTGGTTCGACATATGGTCCTACTATCTTGCCATTCTTGATTTGTCTGATTATCTTGTTTATCTATATTGCTGGTGGGGTGACATCTATAAAGAGATTTGTGTGCGTTGTTTGGATTTTCAGTGGGATCAGTGAGGCTGGTCTACTCACGAGCTCTTCATAATTCTCTCGCTTCTCTTGATTTTCTTTGTTACTGGTTATTTCTAACTACATGCTTTGGTCTGCTATATTTCCCTGCTATCTTCTTCATTGTATCACATAGTTGTTTCACATTTCCTTCTGTTGTAGCTTTTTCCGCTGTCATTGCTAGGTCTTCCACATATTTCCGCTTGTCAGCTCTAATTCTCTTCACTCCTTTGTTTGCCGCTGTATATTGAACCTGTGTGTTTCCTTCCCCTGCTTTTATTCGGCTATTGTTGATTACTGTCTTTTTATTCTCGCCTTCTTGAATCTTGGTCAGGGCATCAATAAAAATCCGTTGTTTATGGTGGTGCTTCTTGAGGTTCAGCACTTCGTATGTTGAGGCTATTGCGTCTTCAACCCTTTTCCATTTTTCAATAGCGGTTTCCTCTCTTGGATAGATCTCGCAAGACTTGTTGCTGAAAAGTATTTTGGACTCGCCGGACTTGCTAAGATCTTGAAGGACGTCTGTACCCAATGCTTCTTTAGTCTCAGCTTAAGTTTATCCACCATAACTTGATGATCCGAAGCTACATCAGTTGCTTTGTTCTGACTTGTTCAAGAGACTTCCTAAATCTTTTACCTATGCAATCTTTATCGATCTGGTTCTTTGTGGTGTGGTCCAACGAAACTTGCAACTTTGTGGGTGTGTTTGGAATAATGCCACCTATGATCATGCTGTTAAAAACATAGATATATAATCTCACCATTCTCATTTCTTTCTCCCAGTCCATGTTGCCTCATTATACATCCGTACCCGCTGTTATCTATCCTTACCTTGGTATGTAGATCCCTCATCAGGATGATCAGGTGTTTTCCTGGACATTTTTATGAGATGAACTTCAGTTTGTCACAAAACTGTTCTACATCGTCTTGACTGCCGTGACGGTGGTGTGGTGGTTATTATGTCTACCTTCCAAAAAGCAGTAGTATTTAGGAAACCCATGACTACAACCTATGAGACAGCCCAAAAAGGTCAAGTAAATCAAGGTCCATATACGAAGATGTTTGATCATATCCCCAACTTGTTTTAAGTTCGAAAATATTAGTATACACAGCAAAACTTTACACTAGTTATGTTCGTGAGATTTGATGATTGTTTTTGACTTAGCTAGTTTAGAGATCTTGTTACATCTCGTATTAACTGATTGGTTGAGAAAGTATTCTTATTGTTAGTAATTGTGCTTCGATATGTATAATAGTCTTTCCGAAAAGTTTTTTACTGTAGTAAATGTTACACGTTTATGTGGATAATGACTACTCATGCACTTACATATGATAATCAACGTAAGATTGCCACTTCACATTGTGTGATATATAGGATGTAATTAACAGACGTCAGTTGACGAAAATCACAGTGTTTGTGTGCTGTTCACCTTTACTCTTATTTAAAAATCTTTTAATAGTACAGTTCACGGCTACACTCTATAGCTAACGGACAATCGGTTTTCTTACTGATTACATCAATAGTAGAGTTCTCCATATGTGTTAGTATCTGTTCTAAAATGTTGATAGCAACCTACCTTTTGAGTCGCGACAATAATATACCTATCAACTGATTCTGAATGATCTTTTTCATTTTTAAACTGATGGAATTCCTATAAATATAGGAAATTTCCAGTTAGGTTGAATCACAGTACTATTTAAGCCTTTATATGGCGAAATTTGGGTAGGGAACTTACGAAGCTCCATAAGCGTCATTGAAAAGTAGAGCTGGACGTGTTAATTGTTACTCTGCTCTCCTCTAATCTACATTTGTTTATACAATCATTACATTCTTCAGTGTTTAAAACGGTCAGTTGCGAAATATTTAATAAGTAGTAATTTAAGTTTGCAGCTTAAAATGGCAGTTATGACGCTGTTTTAACTAGCTAATCTATCTACCTAGTTCTGGAGTAATGACAAATTTATTAAAAATCAGCTACATCCTTAGGGGTACTTATGAAAACCATAGTATTATGAAGCTGACGAACATTATACTACCACCCAAATATTTTCTTTGTCACGTAGTGTAACACATGGAAGTGTGTTTCAGTCAAGAAATTTGTTTACATCATAAGGAGTTTTTGCTGAGTTCTGTAAATATTCAACAACATACAAATTATTCACGTTTACGAAAATCGGTGTAATGGGTCATCATAGAGTTTATCATTTATCTTGTAATTATTTTGGTGATAATGACCTGTTACAACAGGTTCTATTGACACCGAATAAATCCCCACATTTCTGAAAACGACTACGTTCGATAATTGGTTGGTATTACTGAACTGTTCATAGGTGTAATAAATCAATTGATTCCCCACATAGTCTAAGCCTGTTATTATTAGTTTGTTTACAGAACTTGATTTATACTGACTGATCATTTTACTTTATACTGTTTTAGAATTTGACTATCAAAATAATCGTCGTTCTACACATGGCATGCATTCCATAAATAAGGACCAAGAGCAATATAATCGTGACTTGATGACTCAGTATGAGATAAATCGGGCCTTGTTTCTGGCTAATCCACCTCCATCCGTTTTAGCTAGTCGTAATCGTGGTCGCGGTAATAATAGTAATAAAGTAAATGATAGCCGTCGAATAGATATACAAAAAAATTCTTTAAATCAACCTGTACTAAATGGATCACGTATGGATCGTTCAACAGTTTTTCGGTCGACATTAGATCAGCAGCGTAGTGTTTTTCCCTCGAAATCAATCAAAGAGCGTGGATTTCACAATTTAGATTCTGGTATGTTCTTTTTGTATTTCGTAAGTGAATAACATAAATGTTCTTGTGATAATTCTTTCTCTGAATTAATGTATATGTAGACTTTATTTGTTTAAACTGGTATATTTGGATTAGTTAAATACGTGACAAGTGTTAAAAAATTAAATAATTTCAACAAAATCAGTTAAATATAAACTTCGACGTCAAGCTTGTGTCTAGTGTAGGGTAATAATTGCTTTGGCGACTCAGCTTGAGATGCCAATCATTTTAGTTGCGATAAGGGTTGACAGCGTTTTTTATCCAAGACCATCTTTTCTCTAAATTACTCTATTCTATAAATGGTCTCTCAGGGGCTCACCTTATGGTCTGTATGTGCTCGTAATACAGAAAAAGTTTTGAAAATAACCTATTTGACTGCTATTTTTATCAGTTATATTCCTAGGGAAATCGTTAAGTTGTAAGATATTTAGTATGTTATTTTTCTCCGGTTGCTTATCTTCTGAGGTTTTGATCTTGATGGTTTTTTTGTTTAATTTTCGAACCAGAGATATCTTGAACTGGATGAATGTACAAAGTTGAAGTCCATGTACCCATTAACATGTTCCAATTTTCGTTAGTTGAATAAATGTTGATTTCCATTAAAGTTCCTTTTAACTAAAACGGTCTAAGAATTGTAGTTCACTATGGATTTGATGTGATCTGAGAACGTAATTATTTAAGAAAGGTCCTTCACATTGCAACTTTTACATTCCATTACGTTGTCAATGTCAATAGGAGTCTACGCAATATAGACACCAATGATGTCTCCTTGAATGACATTGATAAATTTTTGCTTTCTTTTAGACCTATCGCTAATTGGTCAGATGAATCTGACAATCAGGACTGGGAATTTGTGGAGATTGTAGTATTTTCACAGTTGAAATCACGAGTCGATGCAATCAATGGTTGCGCAAGGTCATGGATCATTTGAACCTAGACATTAACGCCGCCGAATACCGTCTCGGTGGTCTAAAGGTCAAGCGTTCGCGCGCGAGACTGACGGTCCTGGGTTCGAGTCCTGCGTGCGGGATTGTGGATGCGCACTGCTGAGGAGTCCCATACTGGGGTGAAACGGCCATCCGGTGCTTCCAGGTTTTCAGTTGCGGTCTAGCTCAGATCAACTTGTGATTTCAACTGTTTTTTTTACACTGTTCGATAGCACAAGTAAATCTTATTCCTGTTATATAATACAGTATAGTTTATTGATTAGTTCCAACTGTTTGTAGACTTCGATTTCTGAATATCCAATCTAATATTTCATTTTATTTTCTAATTAATTGTGTTAATTTTTTGTAGAACATGACGGTCGGGAAGCCTTGTCCAAAAATTCTCGTGGCCTTACGCGACATTCGCGAGTTCATTTTCAAAATAATTTTCATCGTGGACAAGGTTTAAGACAGTACTGGGGTCATGATGATAGATTTGAAAATCACGAGAATACTCCAGGACTCCGTGTTCAAAATTCTTTTCACAATGGTAATATTCCACTAACTTTTTAAATTGTCCGATATATATATATATATATATATATATATATATATATACATGTAGGATTCAGTATTCCTTACTTTTATATCCGGTTTTGATCTCATGAATCATACTGTTCAACCACACTATATAATATGAAGACGTTTCTTAGTGCAGATAAAGCTTTGCTAGTACTTTCGAGAGTAAAACATTTGTATGATTGGATTTGTGGAACATTATATTTATGGAGCTCATAGTCCACTAACAAGGTGACTATAAACAAAATAATCCAGAAATAGTGGAATACAAAGTGATTGTACCGTCGATACAAATAAATTTTAAAAGGTATCTCGTACGGGTTATTAAAGCATATACATTCACATAACCAGTCCTAAATTACGAATAGACATCGCCTTTAAAGTTTCACTACCGGTCGGTAACGACTACAGTGTTATCCACAAAGACAAGAAGATATTAACGAATAAAATAACTAATTCAGTGAAGACAACTAAAAAGCATAACATTTGATCATCTTCCAGTTTTCTCCCATCGATTAGTATGACTTGCTAAGTGATTCAATACGTTGATTTTCTGCCTTTCTTAAATTATTCGTATAACCTGACCATAGTTGTTTAATTTAGTTAGAGGGTTATTGTATTCGGTACAATCCCATGCTGTTGTATGGTGTATCTAATATACAAGATTTCCTGTAATCGTACTTAACTGTAATACCCTATATTTATTTATAACAGAATATTTTCTGCCCAGCAAATGTAATGGACTAACATGGTTTCTGTGTAATATTCAATTTATTGAAATTCATTTTTTATGTAAATTATTTTGTTTCTTCTAATAATAACAAACCAGCGATCCGTGTAAAATGACTGGTAATAATATTGATCGATCGGAAAACATCACTTCTTGTTCCTGTATTACATAGAAAAGTAACAAATAATTCATCCGAATACACATCAAGAGCCTGACGTACAGTGCTTCAATCGTCTAAAATTCATTTACTGTTAGACGATAAATAACATATATGGATTAAGTGTGAATATCAAAAGTTCTACTTCGTTTTGTCTTCATACTCATAATATCATTGTGAATAAACGATAATGATAAATAAGCAGTAGCTTTGAGTAACCCAACAAAATGCAGCATATTAATTTATCACTGAAGTATCTTCGATTTTTCCCCGAGAATGTGCGGTACGTTTTATGGGAAACTATGAAGCTACGATTAACATTGATCAAAAGACATACAAATACCTGACGAAAGTACAAAAATAGACAGACTGAAGGACTTTTGTTTAGAGTATTATGAAATTGAATTCAATATGGTATGTTTTGAAAAGAAAAAGAGATTCAAGAGACTTACAATCGACTATTATTCATGAAGATACAAACTAACCAATCTTTGCGTCGGTATGAAGAACAATAATGTTTGGAGCTATCGACAACTTTCCTAACATATCCATACCTACTCTAAATTTATTCATTTCAGTTAATTCTTACTCAATTGAATTGACAAATTATGTTTCATGCTTGAATGGTTGATCACTGACTACTACGTTTATATTGGTTCCAAAAATTTGAATGAATTTCCTTGTAACACTGAGACGAGATGCCTGAACTGAGAGTTCTCTCACTAAACCGAGCACTAGATCTTAATTGCTATGGATCACAAAAAAGCAGAACTATCAGCCCACCATTTGAGTTTGTGATGGTTTATTTAAAATCAAAGTTACTCTTTATGTCAGAAAATTTTGGTGGAGATAGTATGATTATGATTTACCTGTCAATTAATGGATCAAAGATGAACCGATGTCTACACGATTTAATCCTTGATAACGTATAAAGAGAACGAATATTGGCTCTTATGAGAGCCACTACATTGTGATTATTATTTGACAGTGTTTTATTTATTCCTTAAAAAAATAATGAGTAGTGATTGGTGGCGATAAATTACCTATTGATGAAACGATATGAATTATGTTTCATACCTTAGCAAGTTAAGGGTTGAAACAAATATTAGCTTGTTGCGCGAGCGCCTAACTACTAGACCACTGAGACTGATAGGCCCCGGGTTCGAATCCCATGAGGAGGGGTCGTGGATGCGCACTGCTGAGGAGTCCTGCAATAGGACGAAATGGCCGTCCAGTGCTTCCAGGTATCAAGCAATTACTAAATAGTTTATGCCAGATCTACCAAAAGATTTAATGAGTAGTAGCTTTCGAAGTAAACAACACGTTTACTCATTTCGGATAACCAAAGTAGATCATACCGGTACCCTGAAACATGTAGACAAATATTTTCGAATGAGCAAAGAGAGATTCAATTTGTAAGTGGGTTATGTAAGAATGAAACTAAGTGACTTATGTAATCCTGTCAAAAGTGATCTAGTGTAGGGTAAAAACAGTACTTTCATGATTATAGTTACTAACGATAATATCCAGTGATAATAAAAAGTAAACCGGTAAGTAGTAGATCTAAGTGCTAACGTATGGAAGTATGTATTTTCAAATTAACGTTCTTTCTCCACGTTAATCGGACATAAAATGGTTAACAATCATATGTTTTTAAATACATAAGGTGATCTGTATACACGTGGTCATTGTGTTCTATATATTTGACAACTCAAAATCCTTTACATATCTGTAGTGAGTCGCATACATGCAGGTTAGTGTGCTGCTAAAAGTGTTTAGATTTGTAAGATGTAGATTCGTTCGAATTCGCTCAGAAACCTTCCTCTTATAATTACCTTTGATGTGTGCCTGTTTACCGGTTGATAAGCTCAGTATCGATGATCATTACAATCTTGTCGATTGTAAGACTTGTAGTTGGACAAGCAGTTTGGTACACTTATTTCCGTTTATGAATTTGAATAAAGCCAGAACTACAATTGCGATTGAATAATATGAGACTGTTAGGTATGCTGAGGAATATACCAATCATTATCATGTTAAGTCTAATGATGTCCTTGGACCTTAAATGGACATTTCCTATTGGCCATTATTTATTTCACTCGTTAAATATTGTACAGATGTTGTTTTCTATTTTTTATGGTACGATGTGGTCTGCTTGGTTGGTATATAATCAGAGTATGTTTGAAATATAACGATTCATAACTCAGAGGCTGTGACTTGCGTTCTGGACTCAACTGGCTGGGCTAGACAGGGAAGCGGGACCAATCAGAACCCTAGGCCGTTCACTACGTGTTTTTCCGTGTCACTGAGTCGATCGATAAAACACTGCTCCATTTAACCTGCAGTCCACCCGTTACAACAGAAACCACTTTATTTCGTGGTTTCTGCTCAGGTGCTTACAACCGTATTTGTACTGAAATATATGTATGATTAACTACGTGTAAGGTCATTTTGTATGGATATCGAAAGCGTAGATGCTGTGAGGCAGTTATTATATTGAATTCGAAAATTGATAAGGTAGATTGTATAGAAATTATATAGAGTTTGAAGGGTTTACACAAAATTAAGAATTAGGTGATTGAAAAGATATTATAAAGTGGGTAGAATAACATTTAGCTAAGCGGATATTGAGTAACAAAATACAAACATTAGTGTTGTATCTTTATGGCCCACTAGGATATAACAATTAATAATAACAGTTACTATTGCGCAACTCAACTTATCAATTTTCGAATTCAATATAATAACTGCCTCACAGCATCTACGCTTTCGATATCCATACAAAATGACCTTACACGTAGTTATTCATACATATATTTCAGTACAAATACGGTTGTAAGCACCTGAGCAGAAACCACGAAATAAAATGGTTTCATATTATTCTATCGCATTGTAGTTCTGGCTTCATTCTAAAGCAGTTTACTGTCAGGTAACTGCAATAAATCATACTTTCATCATGTGCAGATTCTCAGCATCATCAAAGCAACTTATGTATTTATGTGATGAACTCTCGTTTGGTAAAATTTCCTTTTCTTTCTGGTAATAATGTCCCTAATTAATTGACCCTCCTGTGTAAAAGTAGTTACGATCCATGGTAGTTTATTTGAGTTGTTTTGATTTGCGGTATGATGGTGTAAATTCCGGACTGGTTTTCTACAATATGCATAAATTAGTAATACGACCTACACCGGTTAGCCTATTTGAAACGACTTAAAATTCCCAATATTTAGAGCGATTAGACAAATAGTTCTTCTTTTCTGTTCCCTTCAGTTGTTCATCATCAGCTTATCAGTAAATGTTATTTATTAAAGCGGAAGGACTTCAGTTGTTAAAGCAATCAAGTCCAATAAATCAATGTCGGGTCAGCTGTCGAATTCCCGACAACTGTTCAACAATTGCATTGTGCAGTAAGTTAGTTATATTTATTATAGGAGTCCATATAATCACGGACCATCTGAGGTGGATAGTTTCGAATGTTTGAAGAGATTACCACTAACGATTAACTCATCTTTTAACATTTTTCCCAGCACTTGTGCCTGTGTTTGCTTGATTCGCCTACTTATATCTTCTCGGGTAGATTCTTTGGAGAACTTATGTTCATATGAAGGTATGGTAGATAATCTGTTGATTACATAATGGGTTTAAATTACTTACATGAGAGGGTTTAGTTGGAAGTTATAGTGAAGACATATTAGTATAGTGTAGCAAGGGTGTAAATAAATTTAATAGACTGAATATTGTAAATATATACCTTATTTAGAAATAAAAATGAATTCATGCTGTTCTGCTAGAATGCTTGTTCTTGCTCTTTTCAAAATGATAAAGGGAACTATGTGTATGAGAATTTACCTTGTTGGTTAACTCCCTATTCACGTCGTAGTAGATGCAGTTAGTAACAGTGATATCCACTCAAAGGGTTACAAGTAGACAAATCAAGCAAACACAGGCAAAGATCCTGGGAAAAAAGTTAAAAGGTCAGTTGATCGTTATTGGTAATCTCTTTAATCATTCGAAACGATCCAGCTCAGATAGTCCATAATTGTATGAAATCCTATAACAAAATACGACTAACTTACTGCACAAT